AGTGTTGGCCTCTCATTCAAAGGTCCCGGGTTCGAATCCGGGTAGCGACCGAACAATTTCCTTCTCTAAAATTGTCTCCTTTCACCTCCTCTAGCAATGTTCTGTGTCTGCTTTCGTCTCCTCTTTCTGCCCCCACCTCCTCACCTCCTTTACCCCCTTCTGTAGGCTCCTGGCTCTTTCTGCAGCCTTTCTACTGCTACTCCGTGGCTCCTTCTTACTGCTGTCTTTCAGCCACACCCCTGATCTTTTGGTAGGGAAGATCTACACGTAGCCTTCTCGGACAAAGGTGAAAAATCTCGGAGGGCCCGTGTGCAATTTGCGCACGTTAAAGATCCCTTGGAGGTCTAAAATCGATAAGAGTAGGCCTTGGCCGCCACCCGAGCAAAATTCAAAATTTCCTACCAACTGAAAAAGTTTAATATGTACCGCGTGCCCATATTACCTTATGCAGTTGCGAGCGCCGTAAAACACTTACCAAAAAAAACCAAAAACAACCCCCCACCAAAAAGCAATCTTACATCATCATGACAGCTGAGCGTGATCACTGACCCTTCTCTATACGACATAATATGTCACAATCGAGTGCTACAATGCTCTTGTGTACAAGCCACAACCTTTGTAACGTTGTTTGCTGACAGGCTTGTTAACAGGGGACCAACAATCAACGTGCTAACCTTTGCTAACCTTTAATAAATCACCATGACATTATTATGTAGGATCATCATCATCATCATCATCATCATCATCATCATCATCATCATCATCATCATCGTCACTGAGATGGTATAAGAACGCTGTAAATGAAGAGCTCAGCCCTCGTTCAGCCCATGTTGCCGAAGATGCGGCCACGAAAAGGAGGATGTCAAACGTAATATATTTGAATGTCCAGGAACAATGGCAATTCGAATGGAGTTATTTGGACGAGTGGAGGTGCCTCTGAGTATAAAAACAATGGAGCGGAAAAAGAGCCTCGCTCTCGCTCGAAGATTTCTTCTTGGAATCCACCAGGCCCATTAAGGGGAAAAAAATCATCATCATCATCATCATCATCATCATCATCATCATCATCATCATCATCATCATCATCATCATCCAAAAAAAAAGGGTTGAATTGGGTTGGTGTCGTTTTAATCAGATGTTCGTACAGGCCTGGTTGTTCAACGTTTCGCCAATAAGGCTTCATCAGGAACATAGTATAAACATCATCATCATCATCATCATCATCATCATCATCATCATCATCACCATCATCATCATCATCATAATCATCATCATCATCATCACCGCCTCTCTCACCCTGCATCAAGCTAAAATAGGCCACGATCGAAGACTTTCCACCTTCCCCTATCCTGGACTAACCTCTTGATACAACTCTACTCTGTGTCCTGGTACCTTTCTGTGCAGCTTTCTCAGTAACTCTTCCCCAGGTTTCACGTGGCCTTCTCTTTGACCTCATACCTTGTAGATTGCAATTCAGCAATCCAATAAGTAGGTAAACTTCATAGTATTAAAAATGCCATCTCCTCAACTTTTGTCTCTAGATCTATCTGTGTCTATATGGAACGCTATTTTTTCCGGTCCTTTGGCAAAAAAAAATGCCCTTGGGTTCAGGTCCGTTTTAAAGTAAGAAGACAATAACATTGTTAGACTACACTTTTATTGCCCCCTCCGCCCCCCCCCCCCAAAAAAAAACACAACAACAACAACAACAAAAAACAAAACAAAACAAAAAAAACACAACAAAAAATGGAAAAAGAAATGTAAAAATGAAAAAAGTGAAAATGATCAACCCTTGTCAAAATGATGTTCATGAGTCGAAGAATAAAATTTGAGAACGGTTTATTCAGAAGGCATGAACGGGGTGAGAACAGGAATTTCCAAGAATGATTTTTATTTTTTTATTTGTATCCTCTTTTACAGATCTGGGCCGAGGTCAGAAGACGAACACGACACGCACAAAAATTACATGAAGGCTATGATGTAGGTACTCGTGTTACAATTCATCAGGGCAGCTTTGTAAAAATTCACAAAAAAACAAAAAAAGTGCTAAAGAATAATTGAATTTACAGCCTTCCTCTTTTTCTCGTAAACTTCCGGATGAAATTCCAAACCGACCTCTGTTTTTGCATCTCGATCAAGGTTGTCTCTAAATAGGATGTCTCAACACTCATCCTTGGAGAGGCTCCCAGGAAACATTTGAGCTGCAGTTGGCTGTTCATCCGCTAAAAGATGAGAGCAGTTTGTGGGACCGAAATGGGTTGGTCTGACGAGATATGGACAAAGTTGTTTGTTCATGACAGATTGCCTCACAGCAGTTCTAATCTCACCCTTTTTGCGCTTCCCGTAGGGTACATTTTCTGTGGCTTCTTTTTTAATAATTCAAAAAGATTACGATAATCCCACCACCCCCACCCCTCTTTTCAACACTTTCTCCCTTACTTAGCAAAATAATGTGTGATCGAATAAATATTGTCTTGCAAACTTGTCATCAATCAAAATATAAAAAAGGCAGCTGAAACAACATTCTGTGTCATATCATTACAGTTGTTGGCACTGGCAATAGCAATGGATGATTCAAACAAATAATTCAAAACAATGAGTGGCTGAAGGGGAGAATTGAAGCAGATGACTATTCGAGCAACAAATAAATGACCAGAATATTAAACCCTTGAACAAACTCATCGCTAACGAATAAAATAGGCAACAATACTATTTTACCTAGACTGTACAGACCATTTTAACAGATTCAAATCTTAGTAAATGAATGTCTAGGAAAATCGGTTTCCTTCCTTTTTTGTTCGTTGCCATGGTCACAAACATGGATGGAAAGATGCCCTATTTCTTGATCATTCTTGCTGTTGACAAGGCTAAGCATTCAAAGAAACGATTGGTGGGCTGCCGTGTAAAGACAAAACCCTACAAAAATAGTAATGTGATGAAACAGTCTGCGTGAGGAAGAAGGGGGGGGGCAGAGATGAATAGATAGATAGATAGAGAGATAGATAGATAGATGTATAGAAAGAGAGTGAGAGGGAGAGAGAGAGAGAGAGAGAGAGAGAGAGAGAGAGAGAGAGAGAGAGAGAGAGAGAGAGAGGAGTCTGAATGTTGTAACCGCACTAAGCGTACCCCCTAACCTCCCCTCCCTCCCCCACCCCCACCCAAGACCCAACAAAACAACAACGACAAAAGAAAAGAGCAGTGCCAAACCGCGCTATCTTCTGAACTATTCAGAATCAAAATCTGTTGTGGGTCCTTTTCCTGCAGGTCAAACTTGCAGTAGTTTGGATTTCTGTGCATAGATCTGATGTTTTGTTGCAGTTATGTTTGACGACTGATGTGTGTACAATGACTGATGTGTTTATTACAACTGATGTGTGTATAACAACTGATGTGTGTATAACGACTGATGTGTGTATAACAACTGATGTGTGTATAACGACTGATGTGTGTATAACGACTGATGTGTATATAACGACTGATGTGTGTATTACGACTGATTTGTGTATATCGATGATTTGTGTATAACGACTGATTTGTTGACTAAATTATTATGACAAAGGCTATTAAACGAAAAAAAGCCCCCCCCCCCCCTTTATCTCCCTCGCCTTTCCATGTGTGACAAGGTTGTACTATTGTTCATTGTCTCTGGAAACAATAGAGTACTGTTTCTGATTTTGCGGGAGGGGGGGGGGGTGTACATATTCTTCCTCTAGATCTGGAGAAGTTTAGTTTTAGTAGAGGTTTTACGGCGCTCGCAACTGCATAAGGTCATATGAGCGCCAAAAGATTAGAGGTGTTACAAGAGAGTAACAAACATAAAAAAGAAGAATGGGAGATCAGGACGATAGATGTTTGATAGGAAAGAAGAAGCAAACCACACCAGAACACCCACCAACCACCAACTATCTCGAGAAGATAAAATAACTAGAATTCAAAATTTGCAAAGTGAAGTACATGTATGTCTCCAGGGAGGAGTATAATGCCTTAGTGGATCATAATAACAATCAGGATATGCGCATTTGTAATAATTGGTCGCCTTTAAGTACAAGGGGGTTATCATGAAAAATTCCCTTTTGAGAAAATTGACGGGTAAAATGTTTGCCTCTTATTCAGTTTCTTTAAAAGGCAAGGAGAGTTTTCTCTATAACCAAACAAATATACACACCAATGAAACCAAACTTTTCCTATAGGTAGGGCAATGCCCAATTTTGGTGTAGGTCAAGATTTCTTGAAACCACCGAAATTCGGGTTAGCCTGCTTGTCCTTAAAAACGACCAATCAATGTAGACTGTTCAATAAAATCATACTGTTAGCGGCACGCTAGTTCCAAAACATACAAGGAAATTGGGCTGTCAAAATAGTATACTTTCAACTAAATAAGCTCTACAATAAAGAGCAGAACCGTCGCATTGAAAACATAGATCCACAATCTGAAAGAACGTCTACCGCCAGCGCTATGGTTGTGGATGCTAGGCAGTCATGAATGTGACGTAAATATACGCGTTTTAATGCAGTTTTTCCCAGGTCCTTGGACACATTTTGGATGAATGCAGCAGCTCGAGAATTATTGAAACCTTATGAGGAAAACGATTCACTGCAGACTAAAGAGGTTTGCTGCAGACAGAAATAAAAACAAGACGGATGTACTTTTAAACCGTTAAAAATTAAAAAGATATCTGGGGACAAAAAGACAGCGAAAGACGAAATATTACCTTCATTTACGATACAATCAGTTTAAAACAAACAACAGCATAGCAACACCGATATAGCGTCTGAAGACAGCAAGGATTAAATTATAGTCATTGTCGCCTATGTGAAGAACCTGACCGCTGGAGTCGGGGTTTTTTTCAGCCCCAGATCTATTGCTGCCATATACAAAGGTTTAACTAAACTATTCATCAGGGCATCTCAATTAAACACACATAATGTGTTTTTGAAAACCACAGAAAGAGGATTAAAGCCTTAACTCCGCATCTGATCAGTACTTTTCCACTTTTAAATTTTCTTCCAATTTTGCTTATATTATGTGTACCTTCGCGGGTTCATAGGTTAACGCAAAAAGTCTTTTTCTCCATGAAGTGATTAGCTCACTGCAGTGGCTTAGTCACTTGTCGCAAAACCCGACCCCCCCCCCCCCCCCCCCCCCCACACCACAAGACCATGACTAGACAATTAATTATCTGAGCAGTTTTATTTTCACAACTTTCAGATAGGTTCGATAATATAATTTATTGATGACTTTAGGAAGTAGGCATTCCCACTGTTATAAACATAATATTGTGATAAAGAAGGCTGAGGACAAACATTATAATCATCAGAATTCCGGCATTAAGCCATCATTGCATTCCTGGTGTGTTAACTGAGTTAATTCAGTGGTTGTCACCCTCTTTCTCTCTGCCATTGTCTCCATCTCGAAGTGCTATCGTCTCCGTGCCATCAGCATGCACGACTAGCATCCGGCACTCTGTCTGCATCTCTTCGGACTGATTTCTCTTGAGGCGAGCACAGAAAACCATGGAGAATATTTCTCTGAACTTATCCCCGAAGACGAGATAAACCACAACGTTGTTGCAGAAGTTTAGGTAATACAGCAGCTCAAAGGACCTATGGAAAATGTGATCGTTAAAACCAGGCTGCTGGTTGAAAGCGTATGTCTCGATCATCATTTTGAGACGGATAGCGTGGGAGGGAGTGTGGAGTAGGAGAAATATCACCGAAATGGCGAACAGGAAGCGTGTCATTTTGGCCTGTGGCGTCGTTGTGCGGCGTATTCCCGGCGCCCTCTGCGTGCCGGCTCGTAGACGCTTCCGTCTCTTCAGAGAACGCAGGACGCTCTGGACAATGGCCAGTACCATGATGGAGATGATGAGAGACGGTAGGATGAGCGTGAACACTGTGTCCACGTAGGTCATGGCGATGACCAGGTTCTGGTAGTCTTTCAAAGCCATGCACATCGTGACGCTGCTCGTCTGGTTGTTGCCCCCGCTGGGGACCTTGGTGGTGATGACGCGGCTGGTCCACAGAGGGAAGGCGTTCACACCCCCGGCCACGGCAAACACCGCAGAGATGACCACTTTGGCGCGGGACGCCGTGCAGCACGTGACCACCTTGGTGGGGTGGGCGATGCGGATGTAGTTCTCGCACGTGATGATGGTGACGAACCAGACCGAGCTGAATCCACACGTGTAGGTGAGGAACACGGTCATCTGGCAGATGCCCTGGGGAAGAAGCACAATAAATATATTTTAATTGAGTACACAATTAAAAACATATCGGCATCATAGCGGCTGTTTGTGAGGAGGGTGATTATATAAGAAAGATCTGGCTGGATGGGGTGCGGTGTGAAAAAGGTCCTGGAACAACATAACATATCTATCGCAGACGCTACACACCTAGCACAGGACTGAAATTTGCACCTCCCCTCGACATCCTAAGGATACCAGCGGAAGGAGAAAGTTAAAGTGAAGTAAGATGAAGAACATCATAAACTTGAAAAAAAGGAGTCCGTAGAAAATCTACAAATCCGAACACTGTGTTAATTTTTGGCCACTATCTTCTATCGTGGATTGCGAGAAGTAACTCATTTGATCACCACGCCTCACATTTGGTGCAGGGAAGAAAAAAGGCAGACGTACAGAACTAGCAAACAAAAGGAAAAACAAATTAAGACATATCCATGGTGTCCTCTCACCTTTAGCTGGAGACTTAAAGCGACATGAGACCATTGTGAAAGAGGTGTTTGAAGGAAGGATGGTGGGCAGGGGAGCCAGGGGAAGACAAAGAGTAGCATGACCATCAATGATTTATTTATAGAGGCACCAGCCATCCATGTCCAGGTGCTGTTTTAGCCAGAGTAACATGAATGGACAATATGAATACATGGACTAGCCTGGATTATGGCAGAATGTGCAACGGCAGCTCACGACTGTGAAGGACATAGGGTCATTACATGTGAACATCTGAGTCAGATATGACACCTCCTGGTATCCAGGTGTATACAAAGGCTTGGGTCAAGGGTGCAAAGTCCATTTGGTCGCTTTAAAGCACACGCGAGCTATCCCGAAAAATGCTGTTTTGAGAAAATCGAAGCAAAAGTTTTTGCCCCTTGTTCAGTTTCTTTAAAAGACATGGAGAGTTTTCTCTATAACCAAACGAATATACACACCAATGAGATCAAATGTCTCCTATAGGTAGGGCAATGCCCTCTTTTGGTGTAGGTCAGTATTTCTGGAAACCAACGAAATCTGAGCTAGCCTGCTGGTCCTTAAAAGCGACCATTTAATTTGAGCTCTCAGTTCGGATTAACTTGACATTCTACGTATATCCGAGATCTCAACTCTCTATGGTGATACGTGCGAGTCACCGTGAGGTCATTCAAAAAACATGTTTTTAATAATATCTAAAGCACAGAGGTCTAAGCGAACTTTAACCAATAAAAAAAATCAGTAACAAGAAAACAACTACAAACAAACAAACAAAACTAGGGACGTGTGTACATCGTACATCTTATCGGGCAATAAGGATCAATAATTTGTTGCTGTTGTCGTGTCTAGTATTGCTCATGTTATTCATTCTTCTCGCTCGGTGATATTGTAACTATATTGTGAAATGGTATGGGTTTAACGCCCCTATCAACACTATTAGGTTATTTAAGAGATGGGGCCTCCTAGTGTAACCTCTGTCAACGAAAGGACCGAGCCAAGTGGGAAATTCGTGTAAAGTGCCTTTCCAAAAGACACAACGTCTTACCGAGCTGAGATTCGAACCCCCAAATCCCGTAATCTCACGATTACGAGTCCGGTTAACTAGATTGTCTACACACGTCAAAGATTAACAATTATTTACTCAAAAGTGGATCTTACTATTTACTTTGGTACGTCATTGTTTAGAGTAAATTTAAACTAATAGTTACGCTAATGATTATCAAATTTTCGTGTTTCTTTGCCGCTATTATTGTTGCCAGCTTACCTTTTTAACCCCCCCCCCTCCAAAAAAACCCAACCCAAACAAACTTCATCTGGACGTATTCGTAAAAGATAACAGAGCTGCCTTCTCACGGACAGTCTACGTTTCTGGTCTAATGTCTTTGTGATAGAAACAGAATAAATGTAAAAAAAGATCCAAGACAGAACTAATATTTAACCCCCCCCCCAAAAAAAAAAAAAAA